CCACATTAGTTCACTAACAGTAAAGACTTACTGGAACATCCGGGAAAAACTGATATTTAATAAACCACATTAGTTCACTAACAGTAAGAACATTTGATACGCCACATCAGTTTCCATTATTTAAGCAGCTATTTTGCATTTAATATGTTATCCTTCACACAGTGTTTAATTTGGATATGGTTATGTTACCATATTTCAATCATATTATACGGCAGCATGAAATAACGTGTAGTATAATAGTTGATAACGTCAAATGATAATGATTAGCTTCGGATACTTGTACGTCGAATTTGTTTAGTGCAATGCTATAACAAAAGCCTATCTGTCCACCGCGGGGAATCGAACCCCAGACTTTAGTGTTATAAGTACGTAAACTTACCGTTGCCCCAATAGAGAACAGCTACATATATAGATCAGTATTGAAAATCAACAAATAACCTAGTAATAAATGTAGCTAATTTAGTAAATTGGTCTTACTTATAATGAGTAAAATCAATATATTTAATAGTTGGGCACCCTTGCTGTAAGCGGTGTTTTCGGGCATAATCCTAACAATATCTCACGAGGTCAGCCTGCTTAGGAGTTTTAGGCAACTCCTAGGTCTAATTCAAAATATCCCTCATAATAAAAGATTATAAATGGTAAAATATATATATATATATATTATATATATATTACGCAATTTATCCAGTACTTTAATGAAAGTTAACATTTTCCTAAACTGAAAATGCATTTCCAATAATAATTACCTCTGCTAAAACATATAGCTATTACTCTGCCGCCAGGGTTTCTTCTTTGCCCATCTAATCATTGGTCCAATTTATTCTTGCTTACTCCAGTCTTTTATACCCCACTTAATTTCCCTTGGAGATAATTGTATTGTGATACTCTCCACCTACGTCAATGCACCCTCTGTTCTGGCACTGCACATAAGCACCACATTCAGATAATTTATCAGTTTTTCAAGAGTGAAACCATCTCCGTCTCTAACACTGACTCTTAGTGGGGAGGAAGGGCAAGAGAGTGTCAGAGGAGGTAAGTGTTATTGGAAACACATTTTCAATTTAGGAAAAATGTTAACTTCCAAAACATATTTACCTCCACTGACACTTACAGCTAGAATCCCACATTTATAAGATGGAGGGGCCAGTGAGGGCATTATCCATACAAAAAGTGTCTGCATAGATCATGAGTGTACCAAGATAAGGATGGTACTCAAGTGTGGGAACCCCTCTACATCCAGAACATGTATGCTCTTCACTTTGTTCCTGTATCAAGGGTGGAATAGTACATGAGTAATCATTATAGGCCAGCCCCAACCAGATAGCCGAGGTTCCACTACTCGGGGTTGGAAATTAAGGAGTATTGCTCCCTATATCCAATGTCCGTGGTTAGGGAAATTGGACCACAACATTATATATAGATATACTTGTGATTAGATCCCAACCTGTAGCCATAGAGTGATTCGTTTTGAACCACCAGAATCACAATGAGAAGGTAAGAAACACCTAAGTGGACAAACTTTCTGAAGAACCCGAAGAAGCCCAAAAAGCAACACCCCAGACTCGGAATGATGGGATCGTGTATGCCTTACTCAACCAAAGGAACAGAACTCATCTGATCTGGAATTATGAACATTCATCCTCACTCCCCAACTGTGTGGGCAAGAAGCCTTCTGCTTAGCCCTGAAATCATGAGGAGGATGTGGAACAACTGTGCTCAACCAAGGACTCAGGATGGGACAACTCTTCATTTGGAATTACGAAGAGATAGTGGACCTCCTTTCATGAACAATATACTGAATGAATATTGAACATAAAGAAGGGCCCTTCACACCCCAACCGGATAACTGAGCATCAAATCTGAACCAGTATTGGAAATAGGCTCTTGCATAGGGTGGCATTACTCCTATAAACATCTGGGAAAAACATCCTAGGACCCAGGTAGGAGGGCCCTCAACTTTGCCCTTTTCTCCGAGAGTGGAGGAATTCACTCTAACACTCGGGAGGAAAAGCCTCTGTCCACGACCCCAATGACTGGAAACTGAGTGTGATAAGAATTCCCTAGCTCCCAGTAGGATCTGGAGGATAATTGCCCGACTATCTCACTATCCCCAGACCAACCAGATGCAGATGAGAAATGGACACTCCAGAAGGTACTGCAGAAGTAAAAATCAGGGTGTAGTAGCCAATCTGGTGCTATCAACAGGACCTAAAAATGGGTCGGAGCAAATCATATTTAGCAACCAACGTAAAATATGAAGGAGAGAGAAAGCCTAGAGATGTAATCCCGTCCTGTCAGAATGCATCGTTTGCCAAAGCCCAATAAGGTTCTGGTGACCAAATTGCCAATATTTGGGTGATCCACTGACAGGCCAACCCACCTATTAGAGTTGAAAAATGAGAGGCAATCCAACTGAACCTTGTGATACAACATCTATTCTCTCGAGAGAATCTGTTTAGATTGAGACAATCAATGGACCTGCTACCACAGGCATCACCCGTGGAATATGGCGAGCTAGAAGGGTGATAAGATAAGACTAGTCCAAAGTTCGAAAATAAGGAGCCCTAGATCACATGCCTCGTTGATTAGGAACAAGAGACTCCACTGCAGAATAGTAGAGAGAAACCTGATGATTTACCCCTTTACCATTAGACCTTGCCTGTGGAAGAGCATGAGGGACAAAACATTATGTAGGGAATCTTCGTTGTCTGAGCATACTCTGGAATTCTTGACTGTTGGTATAGGTATCCCATCCCTGAAGCAAAGCATTAATGAAGAGAATGGAACTCTGGATGACGTGGCAGTAGAGAAACCCAATTTGTAGTAGCGTTTCGACTAAGGAAACTGGAAAAGCCAGGGAATAGCTGTGTACGACCCCTGGTTGCTTAAAAGACCAATAAAAGGATTGTTTGTGTTCTCATCCTAAAGACATGAGGGAATCGGGCGATGCCCACATTCTTAAAAGAGAAAGAACCATCTGTGCAGTGGGAGAAGGAGAGGTGAGGAAGAATGTGGCATCCTATTCTATAGCATTGAGCAGGATGGGAGACAGTTGAGCCTGACTGACAGATGAGATGAAAAATAAAAAATATCCAGACTGCTGACATATTGAATTGGAGCAAGAATAGATGTCGCAGTCCTGAAAGGGAAGCCTGCTTGGAAACAGGATGTGATGGTCTAACAATTGACGAGATGGTGCCAGCAGTAACCAGTCATCCATTGAATCGTGTGTGCACAGTATCACGGAATAAAGGAGATGAGAAAACTCATGTGATACAGCAGAACCCATGTTAAGTCTTTGCAAGACTGAAGGAAAAACACCTGGAACAGTAGTACCTGGTCCTTGTGCACTACAAATGCTGATAATGGTGGGACTCCACTGTTAAGGCAAAGTACAGATAGAAGCTGACCACAACTAAGTTGGATATCTCCAATCACAGTAAAAGATTAAACACAGATTGAGGAATGATTAACTTGTGAACCTTGGAGAATCTAGGCATTCATATAGACAAGGAAGATCAATGACTAGACACCAACCTCCTGTCTTCATGGGCCCAACAACTAACAGAAATAGCCCGACTCTCTCACTACCCCCAGACCAACCAGATGCAGATAACCCTAGAACTAAGTTCCAAAGCCCGATGAACAGTGGGAGATGGAAACCATACAGGTTGGGTGGATTATAGTGGGGAAAATGTGAACTGAATGACCAATTGTGACCCAAGGACCTGCACAGCTTCTAAACCGATGATTAAAATTACCACACATCCAGAAATTCTTCGAACTGAGCCCCCACAGCTCCTGAAGGTATACAATAATCACCGTTGCTACTGGCGATCAGACAGAACAGTGGAAACCTTAGATATAGACAGAATCTACTCTGAGAACCAGTGTACCGAGGAGCTGATGTCGGGAATCAGTACTCACGAATAGGGGTGGAAATATGACCTCCCTGTAGGAGCCAAAAAATTTGAGATTCCAACAACAATCAGGAGGAATGTAGAAGCCGAAACCTGAACTAACATGCATGCTAACAATGGATCCAACTTGTTTATAACGAAACTGGTGATCCTGAGAGTCTTCTAACAAAGTGAAGTGAAAGGAAACAAAATGTTGAAGTTGAATTGTAAGTTCATTGACTTACTGTCCCATCAGGAGGGTACAGACCTGTATAGATTAACTACAAACTCTGCCTTAGAACCCCAAAATTGAAGGAGCAGAAATTACTTGAAAGTCGGAAAAATGTCTCCATCTGGTAGTGGTAGACGAAATCACGAGTTTCCTACAACGTGTCAGATAAGCCTTATTGTATCTTCACATAAATAAGAAATAAATAAGAATTCCGTGTATGGAGAGAAAAAACAAACAAAAATTCGCTCCCACGCCTTCAGCCATCAATTAAGTTGCAGGCTCAAAAGCAACCAGAGAAAAGCCCAAAAAAGACATGACAAGTCATTTAAAGACTGTGGTAAAGTAAGTTGTTTTGTTAGAGAAAAGCAACTGCAGGTCATCTACCGCGTCTATCCTAGGGAATCGAAGCCCGGACCCCGGCGCTGCGAGTGTGTAAACTCAAATAAAGCACAGGAAAAAGCGAACCTAACGTCTCTCCAAAATATCGAGGATCATCCTCAAATGGAACCTCAGAGCCCCCTGGAGAACCACCACAGAACCGAATATCTCACTGCAAATAAGATAACTGACACTCTCAACCAAGAGTAACCCTCCCCCTTCCCCCGACTATCGTGCGATGCTGGAAATCATAGGTGGGAGAGGGGAGACCCAACTGGCCTCCGTGCCGAAAATAATAATAATCGGCTTACCAATCGGAAGAAAGAAAAAAATATTTTTAATTATTAATATTATTACAAAATCAACTAGATAACATGATAACAATCAAAGTATCTGTGAACGATCGTAATACCGGGAAAACCGTTAGTGACGCTTTGTCGCACTGATGTAGGTGGAGAATATTGCCAAGCGCAATTGAGTGTGGTATAAAAGACTGGAGCAAGCGAGAAAAAAATCAGACTAATGCTTAGATGGACAAAAAAGAAACCCTGGCAGTCGAGTAATAGCGACAAGTATGTTTTGGAACTAACATGAATGAAATGTAAGTTACTAAGTTGTAAGTAAAAATGTGAACTTGCTGATCCAGGTTTGAGACATTAGGCCTTACATGTACTAAAATGAGCAATAATATTTAAATTTCAGTTTTTACTTTAAACGTCCAAGTAAGCAACGATAATAATATCATTACTGTTATATGTTCCTTCCAGTCTCGTGCATGTTTTATTTTGTGTTTGATACTTTATTAATTGCATCTCTGTTTATATTGTAATTCAGTGAATTGTTACTTGGGGGATATATTGCTTTTTAAACTAAAATAAAAATCAATTAAAGATCATTATCTGTACAATAGTTAAAGCCGACAGGTGGATCTTGGTTGGCATGGTGAACAGAATATTATATATATAAACGCACAATATTCTAAAGCTGTAAACTAATAAAAACTCTGCAAACCCCACCAACACTGGAACAAACTTGATGTAACCCGGCCTTAATAATTTACCCATCGTGTGGTAAATTTAAAAACAATGGAACAATAAGTACAATAGTGAGGTTAACAATACTACATATAAGTACAATAGTGAGGTTAACAATACTACATATAAGTACAATAGTG